CGAGGCGCCTGTGCCCTGTGTCTGTGTGTGCGCACCGAGGCGCCTGTGCCCTGTGTCTGTGTGTGTGCACCGAGGCGCCTGTGCCCTGTGTCTGTGTGTGGATTGTAGGCGCGTGCAACAGTCCTCTGTAAACACCAAGCCCCTGTCGAGAGTGGAAATTACTACTTGTGTGGCACGAGATGGAATCCTTTCTGATTACTTGTAAAATGCAAAAACCAATCCAGAGATGGGGATGTATTGAGCATGCTGTTGTTCTTGTGCGTGCTGAAAGGGTTACTGTGGAGATGCCAGTATCCCAAAGGACAGATCTGGAGCTCCACTGGGAGTCCTCTCTCCCTCCCTGTCTCTCTATTGTTCCAGTCAGGCAGCTCTCTGTTCACTTCCTCCTCAAACGGCTACACCAGCTAAGCAGCTTGCTCTTTCAGGACAGTCTCTCCCTTTTCCTCCAGCTCTCTGCTTCTTTTTTGCCGTCTTTGCTCTTCTGCATGCGTCTCTCTGTTCCGATCTGTCTATTTGCTCCCCATCTGTCTTGCTGTCCTCTCTCTCTCCTGTCCTCCTTCATTGCTGTCTTGACCTAGTCTCTTTCTGCTGTCTTCTCCTGTTTTCCTGGCCTCCCAGTTTCTTTCTCCTAGTCTATCTCCTGTTCACTCCCAGTCCTTCTCTTCCAATCTCTCTCCCTTGCTGTTGACATCAATGGAGGGGGCTCTGAGCGTGGAAGATGTCTTCTGTGAAGTTCCCCCTCCTGGGACGAGGGTCTTCAAGAAGGGAGTGGAGCGTCTTGGGGTCAGTCTGTTGTGGGTGTTTGTGACAGGGAGCCCATGGTAGCAGACAGCGCAGGGGAGGTAAGGGGAGGGGGCGAGTCTGTGTAGGTTTCGGACTGGATGTCAGGGGACAGGAGAGACCGCTCAGCGCCGTGTTCTGACATGGGGCCAGAACTGCAGGTTTGCAGCAAGACATGATCAGGGTGTGATGTGATGTGATCTGGTGACGTCTGATTTATGTTAACCGTGGTCTGAGACATCTGGGTAAGAGCTTCGCCTCTCTTTTGCCTTCCAGCTCACAGTGTACCTGGGGAAGAGAGACTTTGTCGACCATCTGGACCATGTGGACCCTGTGGGTGAGTCTGGGGGCGGTAGTGACTGGTAATGACTGGTATGCATCACTGGGGCATTTCCTGACCATCTGAGACTCCCGCAGTTGCACGTTGCTAGCAGGCCATCCTGGGCACTGAAACACCTCAGAGCTCATGTTTCTTGTCATCACCTGGTATAAACAAGAGCCACAGGACCAAAGTGAAGTGCATTTAAAACCAAGCACAGGAGGCCCTCCTTTACACAAAGGATGGTGGGAGTGTGGAACAAGCTGCTCAGGCTTGTGCCTGAAGCGGATATCCTGACTTCTCTGAAGAAACGGCTGGATGAGATCCTGGCATTATTTACTTACTATCCACCACATGGGCTGGATGGCACGGACAGCCTCCTGTCGTTCGTAACTGTTCTGATGTTCTTAGAAGATCGCATTTAACTCGTGTTAGTGCAACTCAGGTGGCTGGGCTTTCTGCAGTGAGACCGGGTGCTGATTAAGAATCTAAAGAGTCCTGGGCCTTGGCTGTTCTCCTCTGCGGATGTGTAATGCTGATTGCTTGTAAAGGCACTATATAAAGCATCCTTTTTTCTCAACTGGAGAAGGCGCTTAAGGGGTGAACACTGGGGCTGAATTTCCTAACATCAGAACCTCTCTTGGCTTCGCACAGGCTGTCCCCAGCAGGGGGGCATCTTGTCAGATGTCTTGTAGGATACCTGAGCCTCCACTGGTCCCTGGCATGCTCTCTTGCTATTGTTCAAAAGTGCCCCGTTTCCCTGAGTTTGAAGCTGCACAGAAGAGCTTGTCACACCTTGTTTTCCTGGCATGCACAAAGTCAGGCTGGCCCTGATTTTGCAGCGTGGGGGCAGCGGTTTCTGTAGTGACTGGCACCCAGGAGAGCCGCTGTCCCACTAGGCTCTGAGCTCCTCCTGTCGAGATGTGTAGCTCTGTGCGTGGAGGTGTTACAGCACCTCAGCAGGCTTCTCTTTTATTCCCTGCTGTAGACAGCTCTGACTTCCGACTCCATACAGGATCAGGGCCTGGGAACTCTGTGGCTGTCTGTCCGCAGACGAGGGATAGGAACTCTCTGTGCCTGTACACGTATCAATGATCCTTCTTGAACAGGCCAGAACGCTGAGAATAATGTATCACCTTGCATCTCACAACTGGCAGCCCACTGAAGCTCAGCAGGAGTGAGCCTGGTCAGTACTTGGATGGGAGACTTCCTGGGAAAGCTAAGGTTTCTAATGGAAGTGGTGTTGAGGCCAGCAGGGGGCGCTCACCCTGAGGTCTGTGTGGGTCCTAATGCCCCTGTATAGTGACGGGGACAGGTCCTGACTCCAACGGTTATTAAAAATCCCAGAGCATTTCTTGAAAAGAGTAGGGTGTCAGTAGTAGTAGTTAATTTTAAATGTGCTCAGATTTGGTCACGGTTTCTTGCTCTCACTAATTTTTCCTTTCTCTCCCTGTCTAGATGGAGTCCTCCTGATTGATCCAGACTACCTTAAAGACAGAAAAGGTAAATCTGAAAAAAAAATCTGCTTTCATTCCATAGTGCTATACGTTCGTGTTTGAACTGTACAGTTGGACCTGTTGCTCTGTTTTGCCTCTATCCTTTCTCCTCTCACCCCCACCTCTTCTCTCCCAGTGTTTGTGACTCTGACGTGTGCGTTCCGCTATGGCCGTGAGGATCTGGATGTGCTGGGGTTGTCATTCAGGAAGGACCTGTACATCTCCACCTTCCAGGCCTACCCGCCACAGCCCGAGGAGCGCCGGCCACTCAGCCGCCTGCAGGAGAGGCTCCTCAAGAAGCTTGGCCAGCACGCACACCCCTTCTACT